CAGTGGACTTTGCCTCAATCAATGCTCCCTCCCTCCAAAAGTAATCATTTGTGAACACTGTGTGGCGCAACTTGGAGACAGAAGTAAAAGTTCACAGGTGATTCTCTTGAAGAGCGCACGCCTCGGTGCAGAAACTCCTCTGTTTTCCATTGCGTGCCTTTGGGAAATGCTAAACTGTGGCCACTGGCCCCATAATGTTTCATCATCAGGCGGAAGAGACACAGGGGGAGGAAAGGGAGGACATGGGAAGAATGGAGGGCCTGATGGTTTGAGCAGCAGCAGCTCCGCGGTTCATCCAGTGTCATTTTACTAACACAGCTCCGGACCTACCGCCCTGCTTCCTCCTGCTCTGCCTCCCCTTTATGTCCTCCTCTGTCTTTTTCTCTCTGAAATGCTGACCTAATAACTGTTGCGTCCAGCTTTAGCCTCCCCCTTTCTCACCCACCCACCAGGTTTCATTTGAGTCCAGTGCACTGACTCTCAGAAACAGCATTGTTTGCCGGCCAGCATGGGGCTGCCTCTGTGGCCCAGGCTGCAGCAGCCCCTTTTTACCAGCTCTTAATTTGCCTGAAAGGAGCATTATGAGCATGACAGTTACAAGAAAGGAAGGATATGACACAGAATGGATACTTTAAAAACTATTACATCATAATTGATTGTAAAAATGCTTGGTTTTGCAAAGGAAAAAAAACTGTGTTGCAAGCGCGAGCGTGTAGCAAGTGTGTGGGTGTGTGAATACAAAAGCCTCATGAGTGGAGCTGACAAGATTTTATACAAGTGAAATAGCTGATGCCAGCGTTTGACCACTCGTTAAACACAAACTTTTACAAGTGCTTGAATTACGACTTCTTTTTCCCCTGTAAAAAATTTTTTTTTTTTTTTAACTAACCAATCCAATCCAATTAGTTGCTTTAGTAACACAAGTAGACCATTCATTTTCAGCAGCCGGCTGAAAGCTCTTGTTTTACTGGACCTTCCACTGACTCCCTGCAGCCTGCGAGCCCACACTGGCTGAACACATTCAGTTCTGCTGCAGTGGACGGAGTGACCAAGAATGTCACAAACTGCTGGTGGAATAGTTAGCATGCCTCCAGAACCTACACGCTGCTGGTCCTTCACTTCTAGTACTTTATGTACCAACCTTTGTGTGTGAATGGCTTTTATGATGGAGGAACACAGAGCTAGTTTTCATCTGCTCAGTTTTGGCAGCTCGGTGGTTTCTGCTGCACAGAGCTCTGTTGTGAAGCTGCGCTTCTGCGAGTTTGATATGGCTTCAAGACAGCCTGTGTGTGTGTGTGTGTGTAGAGAAGGATCGTGCAGGACTGGACACAGCGGTGTCAGGTAGTCTCGCTGTTTACTCTCAGACCAGTGACACACAAACACACCCGTGTGCATGCAGGTGACACTGCAGCTCACTGTCTTTCGCTTAAAGACTGTAGTCATGAACAAAAATGGACTCTGCATATGTGCAGGACATGTGAAGACTCTCACCTGTGTGATGAAATTCCCTTTGTGGGAATGTTGAGCCTTCCCACATCTCATCACTATTTCTGTCTCCCACTGAGGGCACTTCTGCCTCAGCACACAGACAGTGTATGGAAGGTGACACACACAGAGGACGGGCACTAAACTGGACTGAGGCATTAAAGTCAGACCACATTTGTGTGTCAGACCTTGGTCCTCCTCTCCGGACGGTCCAGAGGACTTCAAGCTGGGGCCAGCAGCCGTGGCTGGACCTGAGAAGAAACCTGAGAGAGATTCCAGGGGCCATGGATACTCCTGGAGGGATTTGGTGCAAAGAATCTGTAATCTTCACTTCAAACACACTCTTAAATCAGTCCCAGGCCGCCAACCCAGGAGTGCCCTAACTCTTGTTGCAGAGGAGGGGGCGGGGGGAGGAGGGGTCTTGCTGGTGTGGCCATACCTTTTCTTTTAAAACAGTGTGCACACACAAACACACACACACACACACACGGTAACTACACACCGTCCAGATCTGGCAGTTTTTATAGCTCTCCTCTGACCGACCCCTCTCCCTCTCTGGCTCTGTTTTTATGTTTTGTACAAGTGTCTTTGTGAATGAATCGGTCGAGTCATGGAGTAGTTTGTATAGAAAAAGGAGTGCATCTTCTGCTGGCCCCTAAAGGAGCAGGTTGGAGGGCCATGCCAGTGTCTGTTCCCATTGTTGGCAGAGGGGGTATGAGTGGTGCAGCAGCGGGACCTGAGGCCCTTGAGTAAACACACAGCCCGCTAAAGCGTCTGTAAAGAGGAGCTGGGATCGTTAGTGTAGGGTGTGAATGGGCTCTAATTAGCCTGCAGTATGTGTGTGTGGTTGTGTGTATGTTTGCATGCCACTAGAGAAGGAGGTTAGGGACCCGGAGCCTCACGGGTCCAGCGGCCCTCTGCTGTGTCTCTCTGAGGGTTCATCAGCTCATTAAGGAGACCTCCACCACCGTTAAGGGCCAAATTAAGGAGCTGGGTGGTGAGGCTCATTTAGATGGCAACACTTCACTGGATTCCTGAGGCAGCAGAATTCACAGCTCAACAATGAGACACAATGTCTTTCACACCAGCACAGCTAATTAGTAAATGACTGCACTTGAGGAATAACGTACTTAAATTGTTATGGCATTAACTGCAAGGATCATAAAATACAGGGAGCAGTACCAGGGACTGTTTGGTTTAATAGACTGAGCTTTCTCTAATTTGAGTGTGCACAAACAGAAAACAACTAATCCCAGCGTCGGTGGAGGGCAGGCAGGAGGCGGGGAATTTGGACCGAAAGATGGGAATATACAACATGCGCTCTGGGAACGTTGGTCAAGGAGCGAGGAGGTTTGTAGGCTGTGGATAAGGAAAGACGGAGATTGCAGGAGAAAGATGCAGCTGAATAGGCTGAGATAGAGCTGAGATTGGTCTAGTGAGACAGATGGAAGGGGTGATTGGTCATCACAGAGCCTTAGGACAGCTGTTCTTTGATATATTAGTGGACACAATGACCTAAAGCCAGCCTGCAGTCACAGAAAATAGGAACCCTGTTTTTCTTGAAGGACGGGGGTGGGGGGGCGGGGGGTTGTTCACCATTTGTGGATGTGCATTAGCAGGCACGGGGGATGGGGAAGTTGTTTCTAAAATTACGAGCATGAAGTGACGCATCCAGCAATTATTCCGGAGGCTTTCTAGTTTTTTTTTTGGAGGCAGTTGAGAGAGGGGCTGTAAAAATGAGCATGCATTCAGACGGCAACTTTCTCTTTGCTGCACCGTCATTAGCAATTCTAAACACGTTTGTCAATTCTTCACTGTTGAGGAAAAATGCCACTGAGTTGTTTGGCTGTGGCTCCTGTGTCCACCCACGCTGCAAATCAACGAGCTTTAACGGCAAAACAAACATTTGGTCCCCTGTTAATGAACTGGAGATGTTCCACTAATACGTCGGATGGAAGTTGGTTTCTGTAGTTCAATACTCAGGCGGTAATATATTAACATTTATTTACATATATTATTTATTATTAATTATTTATTAACATAAACAATATATATGATTATTTAAATCTATATATATACACAAATCTATTTTTTTTTATTTAAAAAAAGTTCTCTAATTTAATTTGTAAAATGTGATCTATTTTGTTCCTTTTTTGCTATGATCCTATAATCCTTGAAGATCCTTGAACAAAATGTTCATGCGTTTAGGTTTTGCCAACACCTTCTGACTTTTTTTTCATGTTTAGCTACTTGTTATAGACCAAACACAATTTCCGATTACTCAGCCATGGACATGATCATTCATTGCAGCCCAACAGAGTCCAGTGCTGTCATTCTGTTCTTATAAAAGAGTTCTAGCTGCACGGGCTGACAAAAACTGTCCTGACTGCCAGGCTGAAACATTCCCACAGGGGGATGAAATAAAAAAAAATAGAGTAAGTCACGCTGTCATGCTGAAACACGGAGTACAGATGCAGATATCTCTTTCCTCCTCAGACAGAGGGAACGTTACAGCTACAGGAAAGGAGAGGTAGCACATTTAACGTATAGAGGACATCCCTCAATGCCACTGCAGGAGATGGGCTGGTTCCTCCTGGGATTGGGCTGGTGAGGCGTGTTTGAAAAGAGCTGCGTCTGCTCGCGCTCTGGGCAGCAGGTGTGAAAACTCCCCACCAGAGCTCCCGCACTCTTCTGTTATTACATCTTTTTAGGGCCATGAAAAGAGGGAGCAGATGAGCCAGAGGGAGCGAGAGGCTGAGTGGGAGTGTGGGATTGTGTTTCTTTTGATTGATAGCAGCTCTGTGACTAACACATAGATTTATAATAATTTTCCTTAGCGATGCCCAATTATGCATGGCTGATAAATTATGAAGCCTGTTGTCTGGTGTGTGCATTATCCTCGTCTTAAGGCGGTTTGGGAAGGGACCCGTGGACTGACCTCGCACTTCCTTTAACAGCTTCTTGGCAGAACCCCACACAATAAGGCAGGCCACTCGGCATCTGTGCGATATTATTTTACGAGTTAACTCGACTTTGTGTAACACGACTTTATTATAGCAAAACATAATCCCCAATATATGTGAGGAATTTATTATTTGTCAGTGCGTTGGCGCAAGGAGTGCAAGAGCTGATAAAATGTGTATTTCATACCAAAGTGAGAGAACGTCCACAGACAATTTTCCACTGTCTCCACTTGCCAGGCAGTAAAATGCAGCCGGCCTCGGAGATTGGTGTTTTTATGACAGCCCAGGTAGAATGCAGCGGCAGGACAGCCGCAGCCCAGTGAAAATGTCCTGCCTGATATTAGTGCCATAAATCACAGTGAACTTGAGAACAGAGGACTTAACGGCCTTCAAGAGTGAACAACAAATCAAGATAACAAACTCTGATAAATAACAGATACCCAAGTGCCTCCTGGCTGATACAACAATCTAAAGTCATGAATATTTGCCTTCCTTCAAAGCTGTATTTTTTTTTCATACCTGTTTTAGCTGAAATTAAAATCAGTGTTTTGGAGAATCTTCTGCATATTTGTGTCTGTCGAGCAGGAAGTTTCATCCAGTAACTCATTGATCAGCCTGTGCTCACTGAATACATAACAACTGATGCAATCGTCAGAACAAGTTTGTGATTCATCAGCACTAATGTGGTGTTTGTCGCACCCTGACCTTCTCTCATTTTTCTCTTGTCATTCCACTTTGGCTTCGTGCTTGACAAAGTTGAGTCATTAGTTTGACAAACATTCTCAAAACAGGATGGAATGTTTTATTAAAAAAGTCAGATGTCAGACAATGTCAGACACAATTTAGTTTAGTTTTGGGCCCAAAAGGGGTTTGTCACATGCCAGAAAATCCTCTAAAATAAGAAATGATCTAAATATGGTAATATTCTATTTGACACAATTCTTTTGTGTGTGTGTGTGTGTGTGTGCATGTTTAATGGTTTAAGAACTATTTGATTATTGGAAGGTGGAAGATTACTTTTAGTTAACACATTGCTGTCATATAATTATAATCAATGATATAATTTCAACAATGGCAACAACAATGATAACATAGAAGAAGGCAGGAACTCTTTTTGCAGTGTATTATTTTGGTATTTAAATGTAAATGCGATCAGATAAATCAACCCTCTACAGATCATTATAATCTAACACTACAATGTTAATTAATGAATTAGACTCCATTGCATGTTTTTTCTGTGCGAAGCTGCATGATGGAGTGCATGTGTTTTCTCTGGTCAGTGGTTGGGGGTAGAGCTCTGAATAGAACCTTGATTGGATTGATCCACAGCGCCCTTGTTTACAAGCGGCCTCTTCACAATCGGCACAGTTTAATAGCACACCGTCCCAGAAGGCTTGTTGCATCCGTGTCCGTTTTGTTCCTCGGGGTAAAGAAAACAAAAGTGCCGGGAAGGGAGAAGGGGAAAGCAACCCCGGGGGAATAGTGAAACGGCATCGGAGCTCTCCGTCCCTGGGCTTCCTGCCAGGATAACGTTTCACTTTGGCCACTGATACGTCTTTTATAGGAAACCACAACAGAGTCTCCTCCAGTTTTTATGGGTCAAAGGCTATTCCAGTTTCACACAGTCAGCATTAGCTACTCGGACTGCACCAGATAAATTTGGGCAAATGAAAGTTGAATTTACAGAAAGAAAATCCAACATAACTCTGCCCTCATGTTCCATAACTGGTCTAATTTTATTTTCTGGGTCCGTTTGAAAGTAAATTAGGTTTCAACAGAAGAGAGCCGCTCCACCGTCTCTATCCCGCACTCCTTCAATGAGATGTTGCTCACACAGGTCCCTCAATAAATCCCAGGCTAACACAAAAGCTGTCGGTGGACTGCTGCTGAATAGATTAATAAGATTTCCATAATTAGACAGGCCCCTGACAATGGGATCCTTCAGGCTTTGTCTCAGGACCAACTGGATTGTCAAAGCCACGCACGTCTGCTGGACGACCGTCCACCACAATGGCTGCACAGACAGTAAGGCGGTCAGCAGGAGAACATCTGTGTCTCCTGGGGCCGAGAGCACACGGCAAACAAATAGCGAGAAGTTCCCTGTGCATAAAATAAGGTTCTTATCAGCCCCCGCGGAGCGCAGTGTGCGTTGTATATTTATGTTAAGTTGGTTAATGCAACCAATCAGATATGTATGTGTATATATATGACATTTTTTGAAGTATGTATAACGACACAAGACCAGCTTCAAAACAACATGCAGTCACCTGACATAGATTATTGTTATTGTTATTCATTGCAAATTAGTATTTCTTTTTATAATAGCCTGATTTCAAATTAGTGGGACTGACTTTTTTTTATTAGTTAAGATTAAAAAAAAAAACACCTCATGTTGCAACAGTATATTGTTCTCACTTTGTAGATTACACAGTCCGTAGGCACATGTTGCCCTGATTTCCGACTTCTAATCTTAGCTTTCTTGCCGTCCCTCCTGTGAATTAATCTACGTGATGGCTCCGATTTAAGTAGAAGTGTAGATTAGAGCCACTGCCGTAAAAACCACAATCCCACAAAAGGCAAGATCTAATTACATGGAAAGGGCTAAATTCGATGAAGCCCTGCTGTGGTCATCGGCAATGATTGGCGCCCTCTCACTCAGTGTGTGCATACAGGAAGTGTTATAGCGAGCGTTGCACCTCCTCTTAGAAATGACTGGATCTAAAAGTGAATTGGTTTTTGCAGGTATAAGCAGCTGGTCATTAAATTTGGCTGGGGGGGGGCAAAGAAGTCTGCTCTGTATTGGCGCTTCAGTGATGATGGAGTGGACAGCAGTTATCCCGCCTCACTGAGTCCTCTAATGCCCGCTACAGTCCACTTAGAGGGTACGAAGCGCCTGCTGTCCACTCTCTCCACTCCCACCATCCCTCCCTCCCTCCCTCCTTCCATCTCTCCCTCCCCGCTGCAGGTTTTATGAGTTCCCCTGGGCTCCCATCCATCTCTGTCACACACAGGCCCCATTATTGGGCTGCTCACAAACTGGTTGGGCTGCAGATGGGAAGGGCCTGCAGGACATATATGGTTTCTGCAGCCCGGACAAAGACCTACAAGTCAAACCACAGAAATATGTGGTCATCAGGGTGTGGACAAGCCAATGTCTTCAACATGTTTGTAAAACTGAGTGTGAGAATGTCCCTGTTTGTCTTGTTGTGGTGAGTCGTGTGGGTGTGTGGGCCGGCCGCAGCTTAGCGAAGCACTTGAACTGGTTTGGTCATTGGGAAGTGAAGGCAGTGGATTTGAATATGAAGGAGATGATAATCCAACGGCCATCTGGTCCGCTGGTCTCATTTGACTGAATAAATAACAGAACGCAATCTGAAAACACACATGGGGAGGTTTGGAAAGTGGGGCAAAAAAATAAAGAGGGCAAAGTTGAGGTGTGATCCAGAGAGTAGGAGATCAGTGGCAGCAGCAAAATCACAGGCTGTGGATATTGAGATTTGATTTAAATGGCAATAAGAAGGCCAGCTACGCACACAGACAGCCATGAATAATGAATCATCAGGCGTTCACTGAAAGGAAAAGCAGGGAGGCAAGTAATGACGGCTCTTGCCTTATTCCTTTTTACCTACCTTTTCTAGCCGGACTAGTTGTCACCTCAGGGTAAATCATAGCAGTTCAATAATGCCAAGCTATGTGTGGAATGTCAGGCTAATGCCTCAGTAAGAGGTAGTGCTAGTCTCCAGTGAAACCGATGATTTTATAACTATAATATTGTGAAAGGCGTGTTTAATGCACACATAAACACACAGGTTGTCAGGACACTGATGCTGTAAAAGGGGATTTAAAGTTTCCACAGTACGGTCTACAGACAGGGAAATGCTGTCAATGTTTTTACATTTAAACAAAACAGTTCGACAATAAGGAGTAAAATAATCAGAAATCTAATCTGAAACTGGGTTCATTTGAAGATTTTGCATGAACATTTTAGAGCCATTTTTATTTTATTTTTATTTTAGAGCCTAACGAAAGTTTGAAAAATAAGAGTGTCATCAGTAAAGAATTGATACAATTACAGCGTTTTTTTTTTGTTTTTTTTAACCGTTAGAAGTTTTGCAACTCTACATGGAGAGGGTGAGGGGAAAAAATGATCAAAACTGTATTGTTCTTTCTTTGGCTGTCTCTTCCTCTTATTTTTTCTGTGATGTTTTCACTCCGGAGCATCCATGATCAATCAGACCATGGGCCATGCTGAAGTCAGCCAGAGGAACACACATTCCACTTTCCCAATGTTCCATGGGAGACTGTGCTGATGAATAGCACACTATGCTGCAAATCCTAACCCAACCCCCTCTCTTTTTCTATCCTTCTTTCTTTTTCTCTTTCTCACTCTCTCTACAACACTGTCCACACACAGGCCCTCTCTCCCTCCCTCTGTCTGTCCAGCCGGCCACTGGGCCTTTTGGTGCTGTGGTGTACGGTGGGTGGGTGGGTGGGGCAATTGGTGGGTGGTAGGTGGGGGGGAGGGGGGTAGAGAGAGCAGGCA